TCTCCAGGATCGCGCCCTGGGCCAAAGGCAGGCGCCAAACCCCTGCGCCACCCAGGGATCCCCAGTTCTAAGTTAAATCTGACCTAGCTCAGCTATCCCAGTGGAAATGTTGTGAAGACAATCATATATATACAGATTTGGAGGAGGTTTGTACTGAGATTATAGATTTTGGAGTCATCAGCAATTACATTCCAAATGGTAGAACTGAGATTCAAATCCAATTCAGAGTAACCAATGAGTCCCTGATCCCTCCATAAAACCAGAGGGCCTCTCTGATCTAGGACTTCCATCTCCTTATTCCTCATTGGGGGGCTAATGTGGGCCCTTCAAGGACAGAGCCCATGTCTTAAGTACTTTGCATTCCCTCACATGGGAGATCATATGTTGAATGAATGAATGCTGTCTGTCTGACTGAACAAACCAAGGCGAAAATGATTTTCAAGCCCTAATCCTAAATTCTATGCTTAAAGATGGTATAGAGAAACAATAGAATCTAGCTGGCAGCTGTTGGAGGGTCCTTCTCTGGCTTTCTCACCAATACCCTCCAGGATAATCTAAAGGATTCTTTACATTCCTCACCTTTCTAGACCACTCCCCTTAACTTGTAAGATATCATACTCCTGGTTTTTTTTTTTTCTTGTCTTTCTAACCACAGACTTCTCCAATTTCCTTTTTTTTCTTTTTAAGATTATTTAGTTATTTATTTATTCATGAGACAGAGAGAGAGACAGAGGCAGAGAGGCAGAGAGATAGGCAGATCCATGCAAGGAGCCTGATATGGGACTCAATCCCGGAACCCCAGGATCACGCCCTGGGCCGAAGGCAGGCGCTCAACCTCTGAGCCACCCAGGCATCCCAACTTCTCCATTTTCCATCTCATAAATGTTGACAGTCCTCAGAGCCCTGCCCTCCATCCTATTCTCTTACTAATCTACCTGGAGCCTCTCCTAAAGCTTTATTACTGTCCTTATACTGATGGCTCCCTACTCAGTATCTCCAGTCCAGAAGTTCACCCTCCTGGTGGCAGATCAGTGTAGTCAACCATGCCATCCACCCAGATGTCTTACAGGCACCTTGATTTCAATGTATTGAAACCTACTTTTTTTTTTTTTAAGATTTTATTTATTTATTTGACAGAAAAAGAGACCACAAGCAGGGGAGCTGCAGGCAGAAGGAGAGGGAGAAGCAGACTCCCCAAGGAGCAGGGAGCCGGATGTGGACTCAATCCCAGGACTCTTGGGAGCTGTAGGCAGACACTTAACCGACTGAGCCACCCAGGTGCCCCAAATCTTAACTACTTCTTAACATTCCCATTTCCTCACTGTATCTCTAGCCTGGATTATTTCAGTAGATCTTTTTTTTTTTAATTTTTTTTTATTTATTTATGATAGTCACAGAGAGAGAGAGAGAAAGAGAGAGAGGCAGAGAGAGAGTCACAGAGAGAGAGAGAGAGAGAGAGAGGCAGAGACATAGGCAGAGGGAGAAGCAGGCTCCATGCACCGGGAGCCCGACGTGGGATTCGATCCTGGGTCTCCAAGATCGCGCCCTGGGCCAAAGGCAGGCGCCAAACCGCTGCGCCACCCAGGGATCCCCATTTCAGTAGATCTTAACCAGTTTCTCTGCATCTACCCTTACCTCCCCAGTCATTTCTCAATATAGTAGCCAGAGAAATCTTTTAAAAATATGCCAGAATGTGGGGCACTGACGTGGCTCAGTTGGTTAAGTGTCTGACTCTTGATTTGGGCTCAGGTCATGATGTCAGGGTCATGGGATCAAGTGGCTCCTAGGGCTTCCGCTCAGCCAGGAATCTGCCTGAGATTCTCTCCCTCTGCCCCTCCCCCTGCTCACTTTCTCTCTAAAATAAATTTTAAAATCTTTTTTAAAAATGTCAAATTGTGTTACTCTTCTGTTCAGAATCTCCCAATGGCTTCCCAACTTCAACCAGAATTAAAGTCAAAGTTTTCTAATTGCCTGCAAGGCCCTATACAAGCTGCCCTCTGTACAAATGATCTCCTGTTATTCCCCTTCTTTTATTCTGCTCCAGCCACACTGGCTTCTGCTTTTGTTCCAATACACCTGGTGTGTCTCTCCTACCCCCAGGGTCTTTGCAGTTGCTCTTCACTTTGCCTGGATCATTCTTCCTCCAGATGTCCCTATTGCACACTTCGTCTTGTCATTGAGATCCTTTGCTCAAATGTCACCTATGCAGCAAGGCCTTCCCTGACTTCTGTATTTAAAAACACACCCCACCGTATCCCTCTCTCTCCTCCTCTGCTTTATTTTTTCTCCATAGTACATATATCCATGTACTATGTATTCTATTTTAAACAAATATTATCTATCTCCCATCACGAAAACATAAGATCTGTGAAAGGAGGAATTTTCTTTAATAATGTTATCTCTGGTGCCTAGAATGGGACCTATAACATAGTAGGTGCTCAATAAATATTTGTTGAATCAATGAATGAGTGTCATTCTCTGTCCCTACTGCTTCCACCTTAACCTAGGCCTGCCAGGTCCTTGCCTCTAATCTTGCTCTCTTTCAGAATATTTTCCATCCAACAGGCAGGGGAATGGTCCTCAAATGAAAGCTTCATGCCTTAAACCTTAAGCAAGTTGAGCTCTACAAATCCCAAGAGTTTGGGGGCTTTTGCCCTTGTTGTTCTGTCTGCCTGGAGGGCTTTTGATAATAAAGCCTTTCTTCTTTTACCCTTCTAGTATCCTTCCGTTTTGACTTAGATGTCACTTCTTTCAGGAAGCTGGTTTTAACCTCCCCAGTTGGGTTGGGTACTTTTTCTATGTCCATAGCATTGCCCTTTAATAGGGGTTACCACTAACTGAGCAATTACCATGTGCCGGGCATCTCAGGCATATTATCTCATATAATCCTCCCAAAACTCTGTGAAGTGAGTATCTGTTTGCAGACGAAAAAACCTGCCTAAGGTCACACTGACAAGTGGTGGGGTTAGGGTAGGATAGAAGGCAGCTGACTGCCTTTCTCTTCTGTGGCTTTTCCTTACAATTGTTTCGTTGTCTCATTTCCCCACTGCACTACATACTCCTTAAGTCTCCCAGCATATAGCAGAGGGCCTGGCATGCACTTGTTGAAAGAAGGAGTGAATGAATGCAGACTGTGGATACCCACCAGCAGGCATCTTGCCCCTTCCCCCATCCTGTCCTTAGCTCCCTCCCCAAGACTTCCTGGCAGCAAGGAGGAGAGGAGGGGACTGGGTCAGTCCCATGGTGCTCCCACAGAAGGGGCCTGGAGATGGTTGCTCCTCCCAGACCACATCCTGACCTGCCTCCCCCATGCCTTTTGTGACAAATCTCTCCCTTCCCTGGCCTAGCACAGCACTTCCTCACCCCCACCCTGGCTTCCCCACCTCTTTGATGCAGCCTGCAGCTGCCTCAGTGCCTGGCAGGCTGGGCTGACTCACTTCCAGCTGCATTCTCCTTCTGGTTAGGCCAGTTTGGCAAATCTCTTAGGCTCCCTAGATCCATGGCTCTGGAGCCTGTGGGTTCTCCTCACCCAGGGCCCTGACACTCTCCCACCCCACATGGGGCAGAGCAGATGCCTGGAGGAATGTACAGGCCTTTTGGAGGCAACATGACATCACATGGCAGATTTCTTCCCTCCCTAAACCTAGGGTGGGGTCTCTGCTATAGGCCCAGGAGCCTTTTTCCAGAAATAACCTCAGCCTAGTCCTGTCTCTTGGAGCCACCTAAACACAGAATCTTGCTATTCTGTACTCTCTGGGGCAGGAGCTTCACTCTGCCCCTGGGTCTTTCTAGGCTGGTCAGATGAGGAGGATTAGATAATAAGCCCTTCCCTCCACCCTGCCCCCCAATCTCCAAGGGGAAAAGAAAAGGGGAAGGGGTGTGGCCCAGGCCATTCTGTGATTGTCAGTCTGGCTCCAAATCCTCCTAGTTCCCTTGCTTTGCCTGCCAGAGTGACTGCCCCCCCCCCCCACAGGACCTGCCCCACTGCTCCAGGGGCCAGCCACAGTTCAGTAGGAGGTCACAGGGGAAGGAGTACTGACCTCTGCCTGGGGAAAATCCCCCAGCTACAGCTGGTTCTCAAAGAGGACAGAGTGCCTTCATAAGAACTGACACCCTCCTCCCCCTCCCTTCTCATGATACCCCCAGGACTTCTGCCACTAGCCCCAGCAGAACACCCTGGATGCTACAGTCCATCCTGAGGACTAGGAGAAAAGGCCCTGCTGTTCTCCAAGACAGACAACCAGGCCTAGCACGGAGGGTAAGAACTCGGGGAGGTCTAGAGGTCTGTGGGTTCTGGGAACCCTTTCTGGGTGAGGACATCCTCTTGCCTGCCTCTAAGATCCCAGGCTGTTGCCTTCTCCTCATGGGGACTGGGCTCTGTTGTGCCATGTCAGGCCCCAGAGAGACAGGAGCTGGGTGATCTACTACCTCCTCACCAAGGCCTTGGCCCAGAGGGGCTCACAGGAAGGGAAGGCTGGCTTGTGTGTCACCCAGTGGGTGTGACGGTTCTGAAGCTGCCTGTCCATCCCACCACTACCAGGTCATGGGTTAGGAGGTTGAATTTCTATGTTGAGGGGAGTGGCCATCACCTGACCTGAGCTGGAAGGGACATAAGAACCCTAAAACTAGAGGGAAGGAAGGCCCATCTTCTCAAGGGGAAAGGGCTTTTTGAGAAGAGAGAAGAGGAATAAAGAGGGTCTTGACCCACCCACTCCTCTCCCCAGACCTGTTCCTTGCTCCCACACCCCATGACCTTAGAGGAATTTAAGACCAGTGAAAGGGAGCCTGTCTCTGCAAAGTCATTTCTGCATGACTCTAGAGTCACCAGCTGTGTGATCCTGCTCCTTGGCACCCCCTTCACTCCCAACAAGAGTCTTTGGGGACCTTTCCCCACCCTGGCTTCTTTCTAAGTGGCTGAATCCAAACCCACCCCCTCAGCCAGGCCTCAGGCTTGCCACTCCCCTACTCCAGGCATCCAAAAAGGAGCACAAGATCCAAACTTCTGCAAATATGTTTAATGCACTTAGATTACACAGAGGAAGAGGGAGCAAGAAGGAAACAACATCTAAGTGAGTCACCCAAAAATTCTTACAAAAGTCCCAGGCTGGGTGCAGCCCCCAGGAACCGAGTCACTGTCGACATTAGAAACTAATATAAAATTTTATAAAAGTCTGCTCATTGCAGCATTCAGGTACTTGTACAAAAGGAAGGCTCTCTCTATAGGGTTCCTGACTTGTAACAGGGACCCAGGTACCTCACCTGGCATGGAGGACCTGGAAGCCAGAGAGGAAAACAACTGGATAAAAAAATACAGTCAAGGGAGTTCTCTGCTGGTTTGCCCCATAGGGGCATCGACCTTCGTAATTTTTTCCCCTGCTCTCAACTCAATCTCAAAACTCAGTCCCAAGACCCTCTGTGCATTTTTTAAAATGCTCTAGCCCTTTAGACTCTTCTGAGGCTTCCTAGTCCCTTCCCTGAAGCCTGGCCTTTGGAAGAGGAAGAGAAGGGCAGGAAGAGGCACCTGCTCCCTGGCCAGACCTGAGACCTTGCATGAGACACTACCCCTCAGAATGACAGCTGGGTCTGCAGCCCTCTTGCAGTCCACCCTGGATCTGAGGAGTCCAAGAGTCTGCCATATGTAGGTGGCAGGCCAACTGCATGGGGGAGCCCCTTCCTCTCAGAAGCTTTAGCCAGAGGGACTCAGAAGGAGGGGGGTAGGACCGGGCAAGCCACAAGGGAGAGAGGCAGATTTAGAGAAGGAGACTTCTCACCTCCCCAGCTCAGTATGTCAGGGCTCCTGAAGAGCTGCAGGGAGGGAGAGAAGTGGTACATTTAGTGAGTACTCACTCTATGCCAAAGGCCATGCTGGGCATGCTACACGGTAAGCCTCACTTGGTCCTCAGTGAGGGTCCCCTCTTGCCAGCCAGCAGAGCCCCCTCCCAGAGGAACCTCTAGAAGGCCTGGTCAGAGATGGTGGATGCTCTGCTACTCCTCCAGAGCCAATGCACCGTAGGGAAATGAGACAGAGGCCTGGCCCCAGCTGGACCTTGGAGGTTCCTGACGTCATAGGACAGGAAGGGGCCACAGGTTTCATGGACTCACAGTCTCAGAGCTCACCTGCTTCCTGCCTGCCTCCCATACTGATGACAACACTTAGTTCAGAAAATACCTCCTCCCCACCAGCCAAAGCAGGCAGGCAGAGGCAGGTCCCCAGAAAGAATTTGCGGAGAGGCAAATCAGGGTGGCATGGAAAGGACACAAGCTAATGGCACCTCTCTGGCCATGAAACATTAAATGATAAGAGCTTCAAAAGCAGGGATGTTGTGATGGGCAAAGGCCAGAAAATGTCCTTTTGGAAAAGTCCTTGGAGCAGAAGGCACAGCTACTGCCAACATCAGTTCCAGAGGAGCTTCCATCTTCATTGGTGGAGGCCTAGAGCCTCTCTCTCCCATTATTCCAGGATGATCCACCTTGAAGCTCTGAGTTTGATGGAGTTAACTGGGTAGCCCTGAGAGTGTGTACAGAGAAGCAGCCAGGGCCTTGTAGCCCTTTGAAAGTCCAAATCTTGCTCCCTGGAGAGCCTGGCCACTGCCCTCATGACCACTGGAGGCAGCTCTTTGGCTGAGTCTCTCATCAGAGGGGTCTTGTACCCCAGGGGCCACCTATGGCACTGTTGTGGTGCCCATGTGGGTGGCAGGTGCAGACAGGGCAGTGTCTGGTCCTCTGAGCCCCCTGACAGACCAAAGGACTTTGTTTTGGAAAGGCCTGAAGGGAGATCTTGAAATAGCAGTCCCTAGAGTCAGGGGTGAGAGGGCCCAAAAGGGAATTGTTGATTCAGGTCAGACAGTGGTGGGAGACAACCCAAGAGGAGCCCCAAACCCACAGGCCAGAGATAGGTCTATTTCTGGGAGGAAGACCATGAGATCTGCAATAGTGGGGCATGGGACTATGAGACCAGGATGCAGGAAAAGAGGCCCAGGGAATGAAATGGGGCATGAAAGACAAGAAACGAATGGACGCAGGGAGGATGAGGGCAACACAGTGCAGTGTTTGCAAAATCAAAGTGAAGGACATGGTGAGAGGTTGGTTTTTTCCATTTTTAATATGCCAGAGTCTTGCAGCCTGGAGGCTGGGAGGCCTAGGGTAGGAGGGAACAGGACAGGAGCTGGAGACCTAGCCCCTGAATGGCAGGTGGGGATGGTCTACGTGGTGCTGGGCCTCACCCTCTCTCAGGTAGACCTGGATGGGTGGACAAGGCCTGGAAGAGGAGGCTGGGGTTACCAAGTCTCTGAGACCATGGTGGTCCTTGAACTTTGCCAGGGGGCCTAGTCCATTTGAGAACCAGCAGCACCTCCTCTTAGCCCCAGCTAAACTGGGCTGAAGACTGCACCGGGACGCATCTCAGCTCTCCCCCCTTCCCCAGACTCCACCAGGCCCAGCTGGGAAGAAAAGCCTGTGAAGCTGGCTCCTCTGGGGCTCTGGGCTGGCAGGCAAACACTGGCACCATCTCTGGTGGTGGCTCATGGGGAGACAGCCCCAGGCCCTTGTCTGAGAGAATGAGAAAGTTCATCTGGGAATAAAGTTCTGTTTAAAAAACATTATATACACGGCTTCTGGACATCTTTGAAGACCAATAAAATACCATCCGGTTTCTACAAAATAAAATAAGGAGGAAGAAAACCAAACAGGATCGGAGGGATTGTTCCGTGGCCAGAGGAGCTGGCCTAGCAAAGGCTTCCCAGAAGAGAGCTGGGCAGTGTGTGCACCGGCCGTTCCACTCCCTCCTGCCGGACTGCGTGGCAGGGGATAGGTGAGAATGAGGCCTGTCTCCACCTACGGTCACATCAAAGGTCCAGAGTCAAATCTCAAACCACAACCTATGGCAGCAGCAGGAGGGGAAGGTTTGCGTTTGCCCACTCCCAGCCCAGAGGGCTTGGCCGGCTGCGGGGGTGAAGCCCCTGAGCTGCAGGTGAGGCAGGTGCGGTGGCTGCGCAATCTTCCTCATACATGTCCTTTTATTTGCGGGAATCTCTTTTACGCAGTTGTTACACTGGAAGCAGCTGGGCTCTCCCTTGGCCCCTGCAGGGCCCAACTCAGGCTAGTGCAGTGGACTGTCGAACACCACATCAGGCAGAATGGAGACTTTCAGCTTCTTTTCAGGCCAGCTGTACTCTTTGGGAAGTTTGAACTATGGAAGGGAGCAAGCACAGAGCCAGAGTGTACACAGTTAGCAGAACTCACTGCCTTCTTTCCAAGTTGCCTAAAGAGATCCCAGAGCCCTCACCTATGTGCTGTCCCCCAGGTGCTAGGGGCAAGGGAGGCCAATGGTGCCTGGCTTCGATTGCAAATGCTATTCCCAGGTGGGTGGCTGGGGTTAAGCTGCTGGAGTTCCGTGACCCCTTCTTTCTCCTGGCCCTGCCAATAATTAACTGGGGTTGGAGGAGGCATGTTTTCTAACTCTTTCTTGACTGTGCTGACCTCCCTCCAACTCACTTCCTTGGTTCTGCCTCCGGCCACAAGCATGTAAGGAATCTGCTCCCTGAGGCCCTGGGGCTGGGGGCTGGGGGGCAGGGAGGAGGGTGCAGATGCTAGAGGGAAGTGGCTTGAGGTCTGGAACTCTGTGGTCCAGGCTCTGCCATGGCTTTTCTTGCAGAGGCTGGTGCCGAAGGACCCCGGAACCCGCCCTCTGTGGCCTTTGCCAAAGGGTCCAAAGGGAAGGAGGCCCTGGCTCGGCCTCAGTTGGGGAAGAGGGGCCAGACAAGGGTGGCTGAAAGTGATTTCTTGGGCCTGGTGTGCCCCCATCCTGCTCCCCTTTGTTCAAGCTCATCTGTTCCCGAGGGTCCCCAGCCTGAGCATGGTGCCAGTGGGGGCCGGGGAAAGCCCACATTCTTCCTACTCCAGTCCAGGGATCACTGATTTGCTTACAGTTCTGTGTCTCAGCCTTTGGTGTGGGGTGGGGGAAAGAGGCTGCTAGATCTTATTTCCTCTGTATTCAAGGACCTTGCATGTGGTCTGGCACACAGCTGGTGCGCTCACGCTCACGAGATGCTCACTGACTTGAAAACAGGGTCTGCCTCTTATGACCCCTACTGCCTCAGGGCGAGGTGAGAAGTCAGGCCAGACTGGAAAGGAGGGAAGAACAGGGCCCTCAGCCTGCCTAGAGCTGGAGCTGGAAGTGGACAGGCCTGATGCTTCCTGGTTGGCTCCCTCTCCCTCCCTCTGAAGGGGAACTTCTCCAAGCCAGGACCAAAGTGGAGAGTGAGGCAGGGTGTGGGGACAGCCTCTGGACAGAGAAGCAAAAAAAAAAAAAAAAAAAAAAAGTCATTTTTAGTGACCTACTTTCCTAAGCTCCCCCTGGCTCCTGTCCCTCCTGCCTGGACTGTCCCCCTCCTACCTCAACACCCAAGCTCAAAGCAGCGGTCTGGCGCAGCACCATCCCAGTGCGACATGGCCTCTCCGGAAGCACTCCTGGGCAGCTGGCTCTGGTCTGACTGAATAGAAGCCAGGCCTCAGGGATCAGTGACTCGAGGGGGTTGATTGGCTGGCATGGATCGGGTACTTGGTGACTTTGGAATGTATAAATTTGAGTGAACTTCTGAAGCCACATCCCAGAGGATTGAGGTGACCTCAGGCTCTGAGGAGTTGCTGTCCACCTGGAGACCTGGATAGGGTAGTCTCACCCTGTGTCCTCTCCTCCACCTGGTTGATGTCAGAGGCCACCATGTGATGGCCCATGTGGCCCTGGGAGCACTGGCAGCTGTAAGCTCCAGCCCTGGATGAAAGCTAGCTCCTACATGGCCTCCTTCTGGCTTAAAAGGCTGGCCCCTGTGTGTACTCCCCCAGACACACTTCCCGGCAGAAAGGGCAATGGAAGGGTCTGTCTGTCTCTGCCACAACAGGCAGGGGAGGGCCCAGAAGAGCTCTCCAGAGGCCTGGCTAGGTTGCTAATGTTCCACTAACCTATGGGGCATTGAGGCCAGGAAGGCTCAGATCCCACTGGGGTGCTGTAGGAGGCTGGGGGAGGGGAAGGGACTTTCCAGAATGAGGTAAGTCCCTGCAAATGAGGATGCCAGGAACAAGGAAGAAAAACAAAGGGGATTATGGGCTCCATTCCTGCACCCCAGATGAGTAGCCAAGGAAGGCACAAGCCCCCACCTGGCCTGCCAGCATCTCCGCCTGGAAGAGGCAGACCCAGAGGGGAGAGCTCATGGCTGGAGAAGGGAGGAAGGAGACTGACTCCTGGGTGGCCTGAGGCAAGAGCAGGAGTCCCTTACTGCCCACCAGAACTCCCCAGTGGAATGTTCTCTGGCAGCAGGCGTGGGCTTTCTGTTCAGAACCTGCCAGGGAACAGCAGGGGCTGGGGAAGAACTACCAGCCTGAGGGCCCTGGCTGCCTCCTCAGTGAGGTTCTCAGGAGCCGCCAATTCAGACAATTTGCTGAGTGTCCTTATAACAGGGTGGGGCAGGGGGTGGTGGGAAGCCAGAAATAAGCTGTTTAACATCCCCAGGATCTCCTTTCTGGCCCATCCCCACACCTCCGGGACAGACAGACTGAAAGACACACATGGGCTCCTGGGGATTGGAAGCCGCTGTTAGAATGAAACAGGCTTACTTCCTCCGGAGAAGTCAAATCTTCTAAGTCCTCCAACATTTTCTCTACAAACTCTTCAGTCAACAGAATCTGGGAAGAAGGTACAAGACAAGCGTTTATGATTATTTTTTAATATATGGTCTTTTTGTCAACTGCCAAGCCACAGCACTTTCTTCTGGCCATGGAGTAGATATGAGCCTGTTTTAGGGACAGAGAGAAGTGCTCGAAGCCTCTCCCAGACCGTCATTGTTCTCCCCCACCTCCACCTGCCTGCAATATGGCTAGGACCAGGGCAGAGAAGGAAGGGTGTCAGAGGACAATGGGGAAGCAAGGCGGGGGATGTGGGAAGAGAGCATCGCTGGGCCCCAGAAGGGATATGAGTCCCTGTTCCAGCAGTCTGCGCCTCTTGCACGCTGCAGTGAGTAGAGGGGGCAATGGAGAAGCAGGCACTAGGCAAGAGCCCCATGCCCAGCGGGGCTCACATGCTCCCCCTTACTCCCAACTTGGTAGGACAAAAGGAATCTGTTTGGATTTGGAATACAAGCCATGTCTGGAATCTGGAAATGCCCCGGAAGGTACATCCAAGAATGTCTGAGCTGGAGAATTTGTGGAGATTATGCACCAACCTCTCCCCTTTTACAGACAGGAAAGGGACTCTCAAGTCCTCTTTCCATCTGTAGCATCCACACTTTCTCAGGTCGGAAGCTCCCAAACCCCTGCCCTGCTGACCTCATTCAGCCACTGAGTTCTTCAAAACTTCAAGAACCCTCTTCTGCAGGTCACCTCCCAGCTGTCCCACTTCGCTGTTCTAGTCTGATGCCTCATCACCTCATGGCCCCACTATTTAGTGGGCACCACCCCTCCCCTCTTGGGCATTCCTCAACCCAATGGGCCATTTTCCCAATGGCTCCTCTGCCCAGGCTGGCTCTGCAGAGCCAGGCCAAGCTCACACCAGGCCCAGGCTGAGGATGTCTTTCCTCTTCCCTCCACCTTTCTCCTCCCTGTGCTGGCCCAGGGGGCCTCCTGGCCTCGGCACCAGATCCTTCTACACCTCCCCCGGCTGTGGCTCCACCAACTTCTGGTTTGCCTCCTCCAGCAAACTCTGAAGGCCCTGGGTGAGGCACAGAGGGGGAAGGACAATGAAGACCAAGGTGAGGGACTCCAGTGAGGGAAAGCCCTCTAGAAGGATGGGGATAAAGAACTTGAGAAAATACCCCTCAGGTTCTCCTGGGAGTTGTCCACTCTGGTAAGTGGAATATCTATACATCTAAAATACAGTCAGCTTGTGAGATTAAGTGAAATGGTGCAGAAGAGCAGCAAGCAGGGTCTCTGGGGACCCCACAGGATGGAGGACTCCAAGGGAAGGAACCTGATGGGGTGAAGGTACGAGCAAGGAATGAGAAGCCTGAGTGAGGAAACCGCCGATATACTAGGCATTGTGCTGATGGCTCATGTAGCTTATCTCCTCTAGTCTCCTCCCAGATGAGGAAACTGAGGCATAGGCAGGTTATGTAATGTGCCCAGTGTCACATGGTTTGTGAGTGGCTAAGATAAGACCATATCCCAGTCATGTCTGGACTCTAAAGTAGTGCCTGAGGTATAGTGTCCACATCTGGGGCTCTTCCCCACACAGCATTTATGCATTTATTTACTCTTCCACTCATCTGCCCACCGATCCATTCAATTCCACAGCACTCCCTAGGCGCCTCTGCTAGGCCTGGCCCTGGATGGAGCCCCAGGGACACAGGCATGAGAGCAGTCCATACTCTACCTGGACATCCACCCTTTCTTGGTTGACAGGGAGCCAAAGAATGTCTCCTTCTCAGGCTACAAGCCAATAGTCAGCAACAAAATAGCTCTGACCACTGGCTCCCATCTCACCAAAGGTTTTTCTGTTTGAGGAGCTCAAGCCTCAAGTGAGGACAGAAACCAGATTTAGATGGGCAAAGTCAGTCCAGGGAGATGCCCACCTGAGGTGGCCCCTACCGCCCCCCTTCTTCCTCCAAGTGCCCCAGGTGGCTCCTTCCAATCATGCCCCAGTCTTCCCACTTCCAGAGCCCTCTCTACTCCTCTTACCCCAGGGTTTTGTCCCCCCCTCCCCCCCGTCAAAGTCCAGAGTTTCCCTACCAGTTATCACCAGTCTGCTTGAGTAGCACAAAAGTCACATTCATATTTTTGGCATTTCCGGGGCTTGTTGCCATCTCTGCAAATGCTAGCACAAACACAAGCATACCTAAAACCCAATTATATTACAATGGCTCCAGTCCGGGCCAGGCTGGGCTGATTTCTAACCCACAAATAATTTAGAGGGAGGGACTTTCTGCCAGAAAGGTAAATAGGCCTGGGACTGTAGTGCTGGGGCTGAGGTAGAGGGGAGGGTTCCCAGGGACAGCGACCACCCAGTGAGACACCAGAGAGCTGTTACTTAACAAGGGGAAAGGCAACCCCACCAATGCTGAGCTCAGTCCTAAGCCAGTTCCTCTGACAAAGGTCTGGAATAGGTAGTGGAGAGAGGGTATGTTATGGTGGCTTTTAGCAGAACCACCACCAGTGCACACCATCTGTGTGTGGACTCATTTTATACTCAGCTGGGGGAGGGGATGGCAAGACCAGAAAAGTGGATAAACCCTGGTTGCTCCTCAATTTTCACTTTTGGTGACTTGCTGGTTCCTGCTGGAAACTTCACATCATTTTAAGAGAATTGAACAGAGAAAATTATACACAAGATCTGCATGATATTAAGGGTGACATTCCCTGCAAAGAAACACGACAGACTGTCATAGCTCCAGGCATCTAATTTAATTTCCTTTGGGAGTTAAACCTTAGAAGCTTGGATTGAACAAACAGGCCCGTTCTTTGTATATTTCAGACCTGGAGCTGAGAATGTTAACAGATCTTATCAACAGGACACTGGAGATAGACAACTGTGACGGAGCAGCTCCTGGGCGCTCTCCTGAGCAACAGACGCGCCGTTGTGATGCAACTGTGGGAAAAGCCTGTGCAGTCTGGGGCTTGAGGCGCTGGAAACTCACTGTGTCCCCATGGGGCTGCCTGGTTCTGCCACAAATAATAACAGGATGGTTACGATGCCAGTAGTAATGGTAACACCACCACCAGCAGAAGCACTAATTCTTCCATGTGCCAGGCACTGGGCTAAGGGCTTGACTGGCATCATTTCAGTGAGCCCTCCTGGCGGTCTTGCAGAGGAGGTAACTGTCACCCCCATTTTGCAAATGAGCAGGTGTTGAGAGGAGATAAGGCTCCTGGACTTTAGAACAGTGATCTGACCCCATTGTGGTATAGGATACATTCTTCCGGCCTGGGGAAAACACCCCAATTCTAGACGCCTTATATACTCAGGACTAACTCTTCTCTTTCCTCTGATGGGGGAGGTGAAGGTGACTTTGGCTTCTACCAATGGCTGAGAGGACCAGTCATCCCAGCCCAACCAGCCACACACCTCCTCAAGAGGAACAGCCCTGCTCACCTCAAGAGGGCTGAAGTCCTGAGCATCAAAGGCACCCAGCTGCTCAAAAACCAAATTGACCACTTGGAAAGGAAGGCAAACCATACCCAAAGATCATGTCCAAGTGGGAACAGCAAGGCACATTTACAGGCCAGCTTAGTAAATGCATACATAAGGCAACAGTTACTCTAGCCCAGAAAACAGCAATAGAAATAACAGTAATAATACGGAAAATGACAATACTACTCAGTAATGTCTGCACTCACCAAGAGCTGGGCATAAAATGCTTATGTTTGTGCACAAATAGCCTGTAGAGGGAGGAGGCTCTCTAGAGAGCAGCTAACTCCTCTGGGAATCTTCTGAAACTATGGAGATGTCATCCAGACGTTCTAAATCGGAATACCCCGACAAGGCCAAGGCACCTGCATTTTTGAGGCACCCCAGGAATCGTGGAGTGGAGAATACTCAGACACACACGGGGGCGGGGGGGTTTGGGCACAGGTTTAACCAACAGAGGTGAGTTGGTGGCTGCAGCTTTACCATCATGTAACTGGCCAAGCTGTGAGGGGAACAGTGGCTCCCTGCTCCCCACCTCAACCTCCACTCTTGGAATCCAGACCAACAGCCTTCTCCAAGGTGTTCACACCAGGTGCCTTAGGACAACCAGGCTGGTTAGTGATGAGGGAGGGCTGTCAACCATCTCCCAATTCCCCAGGCCCCAGCAAGTTCCAGAAGGAACCCGAAAAGTGATCTTTTGTGGTGCCTGCTCTGGGCAGGCTCTGCGTGCTGCAGGCAGAAGCCCAGCTGCTGCAGATCTGATTCAAATGTCTGTGGTTGGTGCTATTTCTGAGTCTGCAAACAGCGCTGACAATGCCCACTCCTTCCCCTCGATATGACAATCCACACTTTGTCCGGGGCCCTGTTTGCTCTTCGTGTTGACACGTTGTTCTTGCTTCCCGACAAGTTTGGCTTTCTTTTTCCTTCTCTTTCCTTCTTTCAGAGGCGGAAATGTGTTGTTTACAGGGTAGGGCCTGCCAAGGAACTGCTCTGGTGCCCACAATGGCCAAGGAGGAGGCAGGATGAGGATGCAGTCCGGTCTGTGTACCCCCAACTCCAATGGGTCAGACGAAAGCCAGAAAACAGCTTGGAGACCCCCCAGACTTGGGAGCAGAGGTGTGTGTGGCACACATTCATTTCCTGTTCTCAGTGGGTGGTGAGAAGTTGGCTCTGGTGGCCAGGAGCAGGCTCAGACTCCTCCTGCTCTGGTGCCTGGCTGATGAGGGCACAGTGGGCCATTACAGTCTTCTCCCCAGGCACAGTGGTGGGATTTAATCATATCTGGGTGTAACCCTGGATAATGAGGTTCCATGGCAGCCCAAGCAAGGGTCTCTAGGGAGAACAGGTTGTGGCCAGGTTCACCAGTAGAAGGAGAATCAGTAGAGGCGCTGGAGAGGATCTGCACAGGGCCTGGGCTAGGGACTGCCAAGTGTCTTCCACACAATGTCCAAATGGGTGGATGGGGACAGGAGGAGGTGGGGACTTGTCCAGAGGACAGTGGTGAGTCAGCCACCAGGCTAGGATGAGAGCCCAGCAGTGATTCCCAAACTTGGCCTGGAGTGGCGAGCCCACTCAGGACAGCAGCTGGGCATCTTCTCCCAAGCTAAAGCCTCCCATCAAGGCTGGTTGGGAATGGCTGGGAATGGGGGTGCCACCTGGGTGAATTGTCAGACACCACACAGCTGAGAAAGCATTGCGGGGCTTAAAAAAATATTCTCATATTTGGTGGTGTGACCTCTGGGGCAGACTTCTCCCACTTCAGATCAACCCTAGCTGGGGACGGATGAACGACTCAGTCTGGGACGGGCTCCTGCTCAGAAGACTAACAGCCCAGTGTTGACAGACTCAAGGGAGAGAGGCTTGTTAAAGCTACCAGGCTATGGAATGCTGGGGGAAGGTGTGCAAGAAAGGATGTTGGCAGGCCTCCCCCAGGATCTGAAGACCCTCCTGCAAAGCTTTGGAGTTGGCTGACAGGCCTTCCAAACTCCACAAGGATGAAAACAGCAGATGGTAGGGCAGATGGAGTCAAGGTGTTGACCTCCGGAAACTGCGAAGCCTATAGAATTGGAGGATTCCTGCCTTTCCAGCTCCTCCAGGAAGCAGGGAGTGTCCACTGAGTTCACCCTGGGGTTGCAGACAGCCCTGCCTTTCCGTATGCTGGGACCTGGGCTTCCTTGGGGCTGGAGAGATGGGGGGAGGAGAGGTGCAGGACCAGGAGAAGGCAGGTGCGCAGGCCTGTTTGGGGCCACTCCACATGCTCCAGTGAGGTCCCCGATTCCCTCTACCTTTTTCTTTCAGCCTCTCCTCTGTCGCTCTTCTCTCGTGCAGGGTGTCTCTGCCATGCCTTTTCCCCAAGAGATAACAGGCCTGGGCTGGTAGCCAGAACAAAGTGCCAGGGCTGGGCGCAAGGGCTTCCAAGGCTGTTGAGGCTGATGTAAGAAAGTCATCCTGGCCCTCCTCATTCAGCTGGGATCAACAGGGAGCGTTCAAGTAGCAGCCAAGAAAACAGAAGTCTGGAGCTCTTCATGTATGTGGGCCTGCTGTATTCAGCTCCTTCCTACTCCTTCTGTCCCCAACAGGCCTGGTACACACAGGGGCCAAGGAGACACCCCTGCTCTTGGGAGAGTGAGTGAGAGACTCCTGTGGGGGGAAAGGGTCAGTCCCCTGCATGTTGGGGAACCCCCTCCAGAGGGGCCTGGCACCCTTCTTGGTCCAGTGGAGTGGCCCTTCCTCAGTGATGAGCCTGACACCAGGCCTCCATGAGGTCCTGCAGACTCCTGGTAGACCAGCAGCGCCACAGGGAGCCTGAGAGGCCCCCAAGTAATTATAAGCCTGGATTCCCACAAGCTAGGGAGCTGCCTGTAACCACAATGGCAAGACCCTAAAGGGGAAGGCAGGCTGGCAGTCAGAAGCAGAAAGTGCTGACTGCTTTGGGGGTGGGGAGGAGGGCTGCTGTGGGTGTTGGCTCCATGGCTGAGGACTGGCTGGGGGCAGAGGCAGAGGGTTTCCCAGAGCTCCCTGGAAAGGGCCTGAGAAACCCCTCGGTGAGTTGAGGGTGCATGCTTGGGGAGTGGGGCCCCAGCCAGCCTTCCCGGGAGCTCCCCTGTGAGCTGGCCCATGGTGGACCACACTAATGAGCCCATAACACAGGCCTTTGATTAAGCAGCTCCCAGCACAGCAACTTTATTGAAACATGCCGAGGCAGCGGCTGGTTCCCACCGCTCTGGTTCCCTGGGCAACAGTGCATGGGAGGGGCCATGCCCAGTGCTTCGTTGCCTGAGGGGCTGCCCAAGGGTGAGGGGAATGGGCCTGGGAGCACAACACCAGTAGCTCTGGGATAAGGGGCCCTGGGACTGGGGTTGGGGTCAGAACTCTGGGGGCACGGAGGGGCAATGTCACATCTGCTGAGTCCTTTGGGGGCCAGGGCTCCTGGGCTGCTGAGAATGGAAATGGTGAGCATCCCTTCCTCAGGGTAGGAAGGTATTCCAAGAATGGCAAGACTCCAAGGACAAGTTCAGAGGTGAAGATATAAGATGTAACAGGGGAGAATTTCTTCTTGAGTTTGGAGAGTCTCTGGTCCCTACTTTCCTAAGAAAATGTTCTTGAACCTTCAATACACATAAGTGCTACCTGAGGGACACTTCTGAGACCTGTGAGCACAGTCACCTACTGGGAATGATGACCTGTGAACTCGGCTCTCAGGGGATGCTGGGTTCTCCTGCTGGGGCCCTACCTCCCCCTTCCTTGTCAGTTCTGCCCAGGTAGGAGGCAGCCCTCCTCCTCTCCATGGAGGCAGCCTGGCTTTGGAGGACATAGCTGGGGGTGATGGGGAGGTCCTTTCCACTTGTGCAGTCCTAGTTTCAAATGTTACACTTCAGAGCTTTTGCTACAGTAACTACCAACACCACATGGACAGAACTCTAATGTTACCAAGTGGGACTTTTAAAATGTATTTATAACTTTATGGTTCAAAGTAATTTTGTTATGAAACAATGTAATAACAACAGTGGAAAAAGGCAAGATAATTTATGGAACACAATATTCCTAAAGCACTAGCTTCCATTTCTACCTCGTTCTGTCTGAGGAGTGTGGTTGGTGTCCTTTGTTTGCTGTTTGTTTTAATTAAGGGTTAGTATTTGGGTGGGGGGAGGAGGGAAGAGGCCCAAAGGAGGAAAAATTCAGCTGCAAGCTCTCTCTCTCTCTCTCTCTCTCTCACACACACACACACACACACACACACACACACACACACGCCCCCCCCACGCCCACATTACCAGTAAGTATGCTTCACAGACCCCCCAGACTGGGTTAAACCCACAAAATCAGCATAATTCCCTTCCCCTCTACTATAACCACCCCTCCACACACCACAAACAAGGCATAGTCAAGTTGTGCATTAGGAACAGATCCCCTTTCTGGATACTCCTGAGAGAGGTAAGGTAGATGTTCTTCCTCCCAAATGCCAACAAAGAAAAAAGGGTGTTGTTTCCCTAATATATCTGGGAGTGTGCTGGACCAGCAAAGTACCCATTAGAGACCTGGGACAGGGTGGGGGCTGGAAGGAGGCCTGTGACTCTCAGGCCCCAGCACCCCACTTGGCAGTGTCTCTGAAGCTGTGCTCCAGCCAGAAGAGCAAAGGAAGCACAGAGTGTTCTGGACAAGCCAGCAGGTTTCTGTGTAGAAAACGTTTCCACTAGGAGGAAAAGGAAAGCCATTAGATGAAGAGAATGGGGAGGCTCTGTCGGCTGAGGCCTGTTCATCCCAGCCCTGGTCCAGGTCCACATGCCCATTTTCTAGGAATTCTGGTGGGATTTCCACCGAGCCACTTAAGAGTGGCTTCCATACTTCCTCCTATTCTGTTCACTCTTGGTTTCCTGGACTTTGGTTTATTTAGGGTGCAGAAAGTCTCACATCCCTCAAATCTGGATTTCCATGGAAAACCAATGGCCAAGGCCTAGAGAGTCATCCCTGGTGTTGAGTGATGGGAGGAGAGGCCAGGAAGTGCTCTAGAGCTGATGGGATAGGGAGCAGCATTCACACTCCACAAGGCTTCCCATAGCTAGGCCCTCAGGAAGGGAGCCACCAAGAGCTGCTGAGGGAGGAGAAGGAGGGGAGGGAGAAGGCGGGTGCGGGAAGAGCCCACAGAAAGAAGGTAGGGACAAGAAAATGAGCCTTCTCACTTGTAACCAGGGTCCATGGGCTGCGTAAGGGTGCTCCTCAGTGGCAAAGGCGCCTTCCACTCCCGTGGAAACGAATGTGATGGCCATGTCACCTGTGATACTTTTATATGTAAAGTGCCGTCCATGCAGGAGTCTGCCCCTGGGGGTGGGAACACAGAGACAGTGAGTGGCAGGCCCCGGCCAAAGGACAGGGTGCCCAGCAAATGCCCTCCTGCCTGCCCACCTGCCCAACAACAGGGGACTGTAACTGAACATGTTCATTTCAGCACCTTCCAAGGGAAGCCTCTCATAAGCTCTCTACTGTCATTCCTCCAAAGTGCTCAAAGCTAGCAGAAACATTAGATCAGCATTCAAAGGGTCTGCAAGGGAGTGGAGTACACCTCCTTCATGTCCTGGTGAGGAAATTGAGGCCAGAGAGGGCAGTTAGCAATGTGCCCAAGGTCATGCCCAGAACTAAGAGTGGGATCATGTCCCCCCTTTCGAGGGTGAGGGTGAAATCTCCTAAACATATTTCCCAAGCCCCTGGGAGGATGGCATAGTACCTTCACAGCACAACCCCTGTGTCCAGGGCAGAGTCGTCCACCAGCTCCTGGGCTCTCCCATAAGATTAAAATGGCTAGCCCCAAGGCCACAAGCACGCCTCAAAACAAACCAATAACAACAATAATAATAACAACAACAATAACAATAACAACAACAATGGCTGAAGCCAAATGGGGTCACTCTGAGGGAGCCAAAAGAAGTTACTGTTAATCCCCAGTCTAGAAATACACCTGGGGGAAGGGCAGGCAGGGACAACCAGGGAGGCAGAGATGCCAGTCAGTAAAGGAAGTACCACCTGCCCTTTGCTTTCTCAGGCTGCCTCAGATTAACCCTTCAAAAGTCCTGAGCTTGAGCCAGAGAGGGAGCTGGGGAGGAAATGGCTGGGGTCCTGGTGGGGGACCTTGCCAGCCCCCGTTCATTCAAACCACTTGCTATCTTTGCCCTGCTGCCCGGGGTGGCCAAAGCTGGTTAGCATCCAAACTTCTTTCTCAGGCTCTGGGGACAGTGGGAAGGGACCAAACCAGGGCAACCCCCTTCTTCCTTGTCACTGTTGTCTGAGTTTAGAGTTATTCTGGTCACCTCCCTGCTATAAAAGTGAGGATGGAAACCCCAAGGGCTATGCAAGAAGCCAGCTGAACAGATTAGGCCAGTACATCCCCAAACAGAGAGCTGAATTCTGGCCACAGGGCTAGATTTCTGGCACTGCAGACAGCAGCAGAAAGGACACAGCTGGGCTTCTCGGTCCCTCAAGGAGTCTGTTGTGCTGGCCACTGGGTTTGGGGGAACTGAGTGTTTTGCATGGGAAAAGTAACCAGTGGAAGAAAATAAGAGTCCAACCCACTGGAGCCCCTGCCCTGATCCCCAGTGCTACTGACCCTGGGCTTGTGGAACAGCAGGGGCATCTGGGTTTGCTAGGCCGCTGAACTCCCTAAGGGACCATGGTGGAGGGACACCTCTCTGGACAAAGGAGTGTTCTTCAGCACAGTGGGGGTGACAGGCTGGCTCAAGAGTCCACAGCTCCCCCACCGCAGGCCCAAGATGGAATTGCCTGACCACCTCTCCTCTCTCCCAGGATCCCTGGACTCTACCCAGGGGTGGGGGAGAAGGCTCCCCGAGAACAGGCTGTGTGCTGCAGGGCTCACCTGAGGCAGAGGGGAATGAGAGCCCCTGACTCCTGGTTGAATTTCAGATGCACACTCTCCAGTTGTCGTGTGCGGATCAGCTCGTGGGGAATGATGGCTGTGGAGCTGTCACTTTCCAGGCTGTCTTTGCGGCTCCTATGAGGCAAGCACAGGAGCAGGTTCAGCACAAGGTCAACACCATCGGGAGGAGCAAGACAGGAGTCTTAGGCTGGGCTCCTGAATAATGACAATGATGGTGAGTGACCACGGTGGGGTGGTAACAGCAGCCACCATTCACTGTGTCCTTGCTAAATGCCAGACGTTGTGCAAAGCACTTCTCACTGACTACTCCTCTCAACATCCCCAGGAGGTAGGTACTAATCCCTTTTATGGATGAGGAACTGGGGATCAGGGAAGTTAAGGAACTTGTCCAAGTCACCCTGTCTGAGAGTTTGGAGCTGGGATTTGGTCACAGTTAGAATGTGCTTTACAGCCTCATCTTTGGCCAACACACTTCTATAAAAGTTTATGTCACAGTGGCTTATTCTTCCCCATACAGCAGCAAGAGCATCTGGGAGCCCTTCTTCCCCTGCCCTGGAGCCTCGGTTCCCAAGTTCTCCAAAGCTGGAGTGCTAGAGTATCAGGAGGCATGGCTCCAAGAGTTTCCTTCCAGCTGACCCTGAAAAAGCTGTGACTTTCCGCAGGCTCTGAGCATGCACACTCCTGCTAATGGCCAGGAGCTGCAGTGACATACACATCCTTCATCTGACCAGGAAATGATACAATCCTCAGTGAGGGGGTGGAAACCAGACTCTCAGGAGTCAGACTAGTGGGCCTGGCTGGGCAGCAGAACCAGGCCACCATCCTACCGGGTTTTGAGGCCCCAGGAGCCCTGTACCAGATTTCTCCTGACTGTGGCCTTGGCTACAGTGAGTCTGTCACTGCTGTCTCACACTCCCTCCTGTCCTGCTTCCCACCAACAACTTATCCCACAACCGGGCCATGGGATCCCTTTGCAATCTAAGATATGCTCTTTCAAATTCAGCTGCCCCCACTGACAGCCTCTCAAATCTGCCTCAGCCGGAAATGAGGGTTACCCACTGATCCTATTCAAAAGGCCGGATCCTAGTTTGGGCTGTGAATCTCAGAACAATTCCCCAAGTGTCCATCAAAATACTGGGTGAGAGGCTCTAGTTGTTTATCATTCAGGAGGCAGGAGCCATCCAGGATGTCTAGGCTCACAGTCAGACAGCCAGTGAGGGGCAGGCCCAACCTCCTCACACACTGGCGGGGGGGGGGGGGGGGGGGGGGGGTGGCAGGGGCGGGCACTGAGTGGCCAATAAGGCACCCTGACAGGCAGAGAACCTCCCCAGAGGGAGGGTGTGAGGTCAGCAGGCAAAAGGATGGAGGGCCCAGGGCCCTTTAGAGGCAGTGGTTTATAAAAGCCTCTAAGGTAATGGGGACCCTTCCTACCAGCTTGTGTGGATCTACTCCAGATACAACTGCTCTTTCACAAAGTGGTCTCTTCCTCTGGTTTCCCAAAGCAAATTCTGAAACTGCCCTTTGCCCTAGCTTCTCCTTTGACAAACCCTTTCACAAGACCTGTGAAGGAGACAAAATGCTATGGCCAAGAGGGTCATGGAAGTTCAAGACTGGAAGGAAACTCTGAGGTGATTTAATCTACTTCTTCCCTTCACGAAAGACAGCTGGTGACGAGTCCAAGGCCACAGACCTGGTCTGGGGAAGGCCAGCATGGGAGCCTAGGACCTCTGACTATATCTCTTTCCCTAACACTCTGGTTGCTATACCTCCCTTCTGAGGAGGGAGACAACACACACCATTTCTCAGTGGGTGCCATCAGGGCCCAGACAAAAGCAGAACTCAGAAGACAGGCACCCTACTCTGCTCCAGAGCAAGGAGTCCATAGACTCACTGGACAGTGAGCTCCCCATGTATATTCTATGGTTGTCCCTTCTTTCACAGATGAGGAAATGGAGGCTCAGAGAGGTGAGGTGATAAGCCTGAGGTCAGAGTGAGTTTAAGGGGAAGAGCCTGGGTGTCATTCTTAGTGACTGCCCCATGCCACCTCTGACAATGGGCCCATGTAGAGACATACCAACATGTGGCTGAAGGGGGCTGAAGCCTGGCCGCCAGGCGGGGCCTCAGAGCCCATGGGGCCCACTGGAGGACCGCTGCCTCTCTGGCATAAGCAAAAATGCTGATGAATAGCAACTGAGGTGGGGGTGGGGAGCTGAGAGAGAAGAATCAACAGCACACAGGGCTAGAGACATCTCACGCTGGAGGGAAAAATAAATTGTTGAAAGTCAGCTAAAGTCACCTTGGTAACTGCTACAACACACTCACCCAGAACGAGGACATCAAACCCAAAACTGCAAACAGCTTTAAAGAAATGGAAAAGAACTTAATCATCTGAAGAATTAATGTGACAAGTGCCCACATTTACACCTCCCACCAACCTTCAATCATTTGAAAACGTACTTTAATCTTTTAAGAGAAAAAAAATTGCAAAATGCTAGATCTGCAATCCTGGAGCTCGGGTATTTCCGGCATGCTGCTTCAATGGAAACGCTGCTGCTACACACACACACACACACACACACACACACACACACACACACGCAGGAGCCCAGCTTTCTGCTGATTTGTTTTTTCTGGACATCGATGCAGAAGCATGAATTATTTGTGTGGGCTGGGTGAGGTATTAAATCTGCAGCCAACACAGGTTTGCAATGTTTTGCATGGTTGTCAGCTTAATCTTAGTCATAAAAAAATAAGTACTGTGCTCGCCAGCGTGGCCTAATTTTTCAGCTGGGCTGTTTTCTCCCTGAGTTCCCAGTGGAGGAGAAGGCAGAGCTTCGGGGGGGTTGGAAGGGAGAAGGACTCCCAGGGAAGTATGCCCTACACCCACTGGGGACTGCTAGGGATACAGGGCCAGGGGGTGAAGGATGAGCTATCACTCCAGGTGGCAAAATGGGTAACACATAGGTTCTGGGTTCAACTCTCACATGAGCTCAGGCAAATAACTTACCCTCTCTCTAAGCGTCAGTATCCTCTTGATGGGAATAGATAATAATACCCTTTCGTTATAAGGATTAAACTAGATGACCCATGTGAAGCATCTAACGGTGCCTGGGGATGTAGTAGGTGCTGAAAATACATCTGGAATGCATTAACAGGATGTTAGGTGGCTACCTCTAGAAGTTTATCTGCACTTCCTGCAAGACAGCTTAGGAGGGAATTATTTGGCTTTACCAACTGCCTCTGACCAAGTCAGTCCCACTTCTGAGCAAAGGTCCCTGCCCTGAGCTTGGGAGGGGGTACTTCTGAGCTGGGGCCTGAAGGGCTCCTGATTCCCTGAACAGATACTACAGGCCCTGGTCAACCACTGGTCCTCTTGGAAGGCACAACTACAGGCCAACAAAAACCCTTGAGGCTTTTGTTCTGCTAAGGGAGGTGCTGGCAGGGCCGTCTTCCTTCTACAGAGCACAATGGTCTTCCTGCAATTCTCATCTGCTGGACCTCAAACTGCCCAGAAGTAGTTTAATCCCTCATCCCATGACAGCCTTGCAAATCCCCAAGGCTGCTCTCACAGACCATCATCAGCTTCTCTTTTCCAGTATTTGTGAACTATATTCTTAAGACGTGGTTCTGAAATCTTCCAGCCACACAAGTCACTCTCACTTGCATTTACTCTGGCTTGTCAAAGCCAGAATGTCATGTCCAGAAGTGATGTGTCATGTGTGGAAATAAATACAGCATGTGGTCTGACCAGTGCAGATCAAAGAGGGACTATGAGCTTTCTTATTTGGGAAACCTTATTTCTATTAAAACTGTCATCAAATGGTCTATTCTTTGTAACCCAATCATACTACCAGCTCTTACAGCATACCCTCTGTCAACAACCTTTCCCTTAGGCTCTCTCTCATGGCCTGTGCTTGGACCTCTTCTTTCCCATCTTGTACGTACTGTGTATTAGCTGGAGCTAAAAGCCCAACTCTGCATTATCTGGCTACTGTTTCAAGCAGTTCAGGTATTTCTGAAACCCGGCTCTGGCATTCATCATACTGGCATTTCGCCCTGACTTCATATCACTGATGAAACTGTTAAACTCACCATCAATGTTCTCATCCGAGGCTTTGATTTAACAGTGAACAGGACGGGGCCAGGCAGACAGGCTAACAGAATGACATTATTACTTTTGAGGCATGCTCATCTGACCAATTATAAATCAACCCAACCATTCCATCACCAAGCCCTTCACCTTTCTGGATGCTCTCTGCACATTTCTCCATCATGCCAACAATGATGTCAGAAGACATTCTGAAAATGTCTTGCTAAACTCCACCTATAGAAGTCTACAGTACTTCCTTTGTCTACCAGGTAGAAATAGGTAACTATTTTTTTTTCTTTTCTGTTTTGTTTTCTAAGGTAAAGTTTTTAAAAAGGCTTTTCTTTATTCATTTAAGTAATCTCTACACCCAACGTAGGGCTCGAACTCACAACCCTGAGATCAAGAGTCTCATGTTCCTACAACTAAGCCAGCTAGGCAACCTGGTAACTATTTCTAAAAATAAGGAGAATGGTCTGGCAGGCCTGATTCTTTCTGGATCCATGCTGACTCTCAGGGCTTACTGTTCCTCTTAAAGAGTGCTCATAGTCTGCCTGCTGAATAACCTGGTCCAGAATTTTCCCTGAGAGTTGACACTGGGCTCACTTGTTTGGAGAGTACAGGATGCTTTTTACACGTTGAAACTCCTGAGTGCTTTCAGCCTGCCAACATCTCTCTCTTATTCCCTCGAAGATGATGGACACCAGCTTCATAAATTTCATTTGCCAATTTGTCTGGTGTTCTGGGGCATCATCAATGCCTGTTTGACTCTTCCTGCTCTGATAACTTTTTTTTTTTTTTTTGAGATGGAAGCATAACAGAACTTGAGTAAATCTTGTTTTCTCTCTGCCACTGATTAAAGTTACTCTGTCCAAACAATGGGACCTACGTTTTCTTATTCTTGTTGTTCCAAACAGTAGTACAAAAACTAAAGTCCTTTTTGCTGGTCATAGCACTTTTTTTTTATAAGACTCAGTTCTTCTTCAGTTTCAGCTTTTCTCGACCCTGTTCCTTAATAGTCTGTGCT